ACTTTACAGGGGCTGCCCCACGGTCATTGGCCGCGCCTCGCCGAGCCAAAGCCTTCCTTTCGTTGGTCTGAATAAAGGAAGTCCCGCCCACTGTCCATTTGCCATTGGTCGAATGGACCAGATGAGATTTGGCGAAGCCTAGGAGAGGGGGAAGGAAACGGAAGTACACGGTATCCTAGCAACCAGGATTGTACCCGCCTACGTCGCTGGTAACAAAGGCGGGGACGAGCAATTGATTCTACCCAATAAGAGATGGTATTGGGCGGAGGCGAAATCTGTCCTCTTGCAAGTAGGGGAGGTGGCTTCTGAGCGTGAGTCACTGGGAACCATTACGTCATGTGGGGACAGGGATAGTCTGCGGGTTTTGGCTTGTCAGTCGGTCGCATTGCTGGATGGCGGCGAACTCTGGAGTCCTTTTTGCAGGAGGAGGAGGAAGGGAGAGAAAGAGTCTTTGATTTATTCCAGGGAAAGCAAGGCATAAAGGGTGACTTCATGCCTTGCTCTCTGGACAAAAAATCCGCGGGCTGACATTTAAATTCAAGTCTCTAGGGGACGTAACTGTATGCATACCTCCCACCTCTCCTTTTTTTTACTCTCCAGCAGTTCTGGAAAATTAGAGCCTCCTGTTCACACCGTAAGGGAACTCTCGTGGTGTAGTGGGTAAGGCATTTGGCTGCTAACCAAAAGGTGGGTGGTTCGAACCCACCAGTTGCTCCCGGGGAGAAAGATGAGGCAGTCTGTTCCCATAACGATTGACAGCCTTGGAGACCCTGTGGTGCAGTTCCACTCTGTCCTCTAGGGGCGCTGTGAGTCAGAATGGACTCCACGGCAGTGGGTGTGGTTTGGGCTTTGCTTCTGTGAAGACTGACAGCCTTGTGGAGCGGTTCTGCTCTGCCTTGTAGGGTTTCTAAGAGTTGGAATCGATGTTTGGTGCACATCTTGCTTCTTCAAGAGAACAAGCCTTTGCCAGAGCTGTGCTTTTATCTGGGGTGCACTCTACATTGCTCCCCTTGTCTCGGTCTGGAAAATGGTTTGCGCTGAAGTAAAAGGCGGCATTTCGGAGCCACCCAGTGGTGCCCGCACTAATGGCCCCGCGATCTGCTTCCATAAAGATAAAACAAAACCAGAGCCATTACTGTAGAACTCAAAAAGCTCACTGCCGACTGACAGTGACCCTCCTTGGGTTTCCAAGGTGAGGCATTTGACTGCTAACCAGAAGGCTGGTGGTTCAACCCCACCAGCCACTCCTCCGAAGGAAGATTGGGCAATCTACTTCCGCAGAGGTACCACCTCGGAAACCCAAGGAGGGGTCGCTATGAGCCGGCACCAACTCGACAGCAGTGAGTTTGGTTTGGTTTTTGGTATCTCTACGGAAGTAGATTGCCCAGTCTTCCTTCCGAGGAGTGGCTGGTGGGTTTGAACTGCCAACCTCCTGGTGAGCAGTCAGATGCTTTAGGCACTGCGCCACCAGAGCGGCCCCTCAGTTCCAACTCACAGCAGCCCTGTAGGACGCGGTGGAACTGCCCCATAGGGTTTCTAAAGCTATAAATCTTTATGGAAGCGGGCTGCCCCATCTTTCTCCCACAGAGCTGCTGGTGGGTTTGCACCACTGACCCTCCGCAGCCCAGCACGTGACTCGCTGCACCACCCGAGCTCTTTCTGTAAAGATTACAGGAAAGGACGCCCTAGGCAGCATTTCTGCTCTGTGACACAAGGGATGGCCATCCACCAGAATGGACTCAAGAGCAACAGGCTTTCCCTGCCTTCTTCAGGCTCCCGGCCTCTCACAGTCCTCACCCCTGGAGCCAGGCCTGGGAGCTCTGCCGGCGTAGTGCCTGAGGCATTTGACTGCCAACCACCAGCCACTTTTCGGAAGGCAGGTTGGGCAATCTACTTCCATAGAGATACCACCTCGGAAGCCCAAGGAGGGGTCGCTATGAGTCGAATCAACTCGAGGGCAGTGAGTTTGGGTTTGTTTGTTTGTTTTGTTTTTTAGAGCGAGGGCTGTGACTTGGTCCTGCAGTCTGCAGTGTGACTGTTCAGTATGGCAGCAGGGTTGGATCAGATTCCACTGTTGCCAGCCTCTCTCTAAACGGCCCCCAGCTGCAGTGCTAGGACCACCCTAACTGAGGGGCCTGCACCGTGGGGCTGTGAAAACCTAAAATGTCCCCCACTATGGTTCCCACTTGAAGGGCAGGGCTGAGCCAGGCCCCCTTAGATGGAATAGCCCTAGGGGCTTTTCTAAGTCCCCCTAATCGCACAAGTCAGAGCACGACTCCTGTAAAAGTGGAGAAGCTGTGTGCACCTCCATATTCTCAGGCTTTCCCACTGGAGCCCAGTGAGTCGACCGTACTTAGCCAAGGATGCCTGTTCTGGTGTCAGACTGCTTGGGATCTTAGGCTGGGGCCTCTGAGCTTGAAAAAAAAAAAAAAAAAAAAAAGCCCACTGCCATCAAATTGATTCTGACTCATAGCGACCCTTTAGGACAGAATAGAACTGTACAGAAGGAGACTTGTCTCACCTTTCTCCAACAGAGCGGCTGGTGGGTTCAAACTGCCAACCTGTTGGTTAAAGGCCCAATGCTTTAACCACAGCGCCACCAGAGCTCCTTTTTTTATCCATAAACCCAAAACCAAACCCACTGCCGTCGAGTTGATTCTGCCTCATAGGGACCCCCATTGGCCTTCCCGCGCAGTAAGTCTTTACAGAAGTAGATTGCCCAACCTTCCTTCTGAGGAGTGGTTGGTGGGTTTGAACCACCAGCCTTCTGAGTCTTCCTTCCGAGGAGTGGCTGGTGGGTTTGAACCGCCAGCCTTCTGGTTAGCAGTCAAGTGCCTTAGGCACTGCACCACCAGAGCTCCTACCTTCACAGAAGCAAAGCCCAAACCACACCCACTGCCTGGAGGGGATTCTGACCCACAGCGCCCCTAGAGGACAGAGTGGAACTGCACCACAGGATCTCCAAGGCTGTCAGTCTTGATGGGAGCAAAGCCCAAACCACACCCACTGGAAGCAAAGCCCAAACCAAAGTCACTGCCATTGACTTGACTTGACTCATAGTGACCCCTCCTTGGGTTTCTGAGGCAGTATCACTAAGGAAGTAGATTGCCCAACCTTCCTTCTGAGGAGTGGTTGGTGGGTTTGAACCACCAGCCTTCTGGTTAGCAGTCAAGTGCCTTAGGCACTATGCTACCAGACCTTGAGCACAAATCCTTGGTATCACCCAGTGATTTTCAAAGGCCCATGATGCTTTTTAAAACTTTTTTTCAGAAACAAAATAAAAAGAAGAAATTGTTGGTTCCAAAATGCCAATACAAAGCCACAACCTTTAGTACATACTTAAGACCTATCTATACAATTAAAACATCAATGCCGATGGAGATGACTGTAGTCAAATATATTGTATTAGTTCATTCATTTAACCCTCCAACAACTCTGTGAGATAGAACAACACCAGTATCATCCACATTTTATGGTCGAGAAAACTGACGCATAGACGGTGAGGAATATGTCCAAGGACACACAGGCAGTAATAGTAAGGGTTGAGATTGAACCAAAACAGTCTTACTCCAACGACCTTCCTACCTAAAACTCTATTTTTACATCATAAAGGGAAAACCATATTGAATGTGGGATTTAGGATTATTTTACTACACTTGAGCTCACGGTATGACTAACATTGTGAAGAATGGGAATTCCAGAACACTTCATTGGACTCAAGAGGAATCTGTACATAGACCAAGGGGTGTCATTCAAATAGAACAAGAGGATAGTGTATAGTTTAAGATCACAAAAGGTGTGAGTAAGGGCTGTATCCATTCACCCATACTTACTCAATGTGTACACAGAGCAAATAATCCAAGAAACTGGACTATATGAAGAAGAAGGCAGCATCAGGATTGGAGGAAGACTCATTAACAACCTACGATATGCAGGTGAAATAATCTTGCTTGCTGAACGTTAAGATGACTTGAAGCACTTACAGATGGAGTATGGATTACACCTCAACATAAAGAAAAAAAAATCCTCACACTGAACCAATAAGCAACATTACAATAAATGGAGAAAATATTGAAGTTGTCAAGGATTTCCTTTCACTTGAATTCATAATCAATACCCCAGGAAGCAGCAGTCAAGAAATCAGACATCTTGCACTGGGTAAATGTGCTGCTGAAGACCTCTTTAAAAGTGTTAAGAAACAGAGATGTCACTTTGAAGACTAAGGTGCTCCTGACCCAAACCCTGGTATTTTTAATCACCTCATATGTATGTGAAAGCCAGACAATGAATAAGGTAGATCGAAGAATTGATGCATTTGAAATGTGTTCTTGGCAAGAATACTGAAAATACCATGGGCTGCCAGAAGAATAAACAAATCTGTCTTGGAAGAAGTACAGCTGGAATGTTCCTTAGAAGCAAGAATGGCCAGACTTCATCTCACATTCTTTGGTCATGTTGTCAGAAGAGACCTGTCCCTGGAGAAGGATATCATGCTTGGTAAAGTAGAGAGTCAGGAAAAAGAAGAAGACCCTCAATGAGATGGATTGACACAGTGACTGCAGCAATGGGCTCAAGTATAGCAAGTACAGCGGAGCTGGTGCGGGACCAGGCACTGTTTTGCTCTTTTGTACACAGGGTCACTATGAATCAGAGCCAACTCCATGGCACCTAACAGTGGCAACAACCACCACCATTTTCCAGTGTATAATTTCAGTTCCTTTGTCCCTTTAAAAAAAAAAAAAACAATTTTTTTAAGTTATTTTCGTATTAGTTGCCTTGGTGATTATAATTAATATCGTAGTTTATAACAATCTAGTTTGGATTATACTAACGTGGTGTGGGGAAGTGCTTGGTATGGATCTTCTGGCCACCGTCTTTGTGGCGCCCACTGGATGACTGGGTGCAACTATACAAATGTAAAGTGCTGTGGTCTGCAAAGGGGACTGGATAGCTTGTAAGTAATGTGAATAAGGTATGTATCATGGGCAGGACCATGGACATCAGGTGTGTAGAGCCATCATGTTGGGGTCGATCTGCTTTGTCATTCCGATGGGCGTAAAGTGAGCCCCCTTAGAGGCACCAACAAGAAGGAGAAGCAGGTGTGGAGCGTGTTCTTGGACCTGAATTATAACCTGTCCTTTCCCTAATAAACCCCATCATCATCAGTATTGTCTGTGAGTTCTTTGTGGCCATTGCCACAAATTGAATTATAAAAACCCAGCAGAGAAGGAGTGAGTGCCATGTGGGGGACAACCGGTGTGAGAATTGGTAAAAAAAAAAAAAAAAAAGGTTGCAGGGTGCTGGCATGTCTGATTTTGTCTCATAGGAATTAGCCTTGGGTGATGCTGTTGACTCCTCTCTCTCTCCACCTTGTGAAGTTAGAGGAGGTGGGAGGAGATGCCGCCCCAAGTCCTTTTTGCTGCAAACTTAATTTCAGTAGATTACAGAAACTTTGTTCTTTTCCTTCTTCCCTCCTTTGTGAGATTATTTTCATAGTAAATGACATCTTTATACACTGTTTCTATCCTCCTCCACACAGATTTGTAATTACTGTTTTATAAAGTCATCTTTTAAATCAGGTAGAAAAAATATTAAAAAAAAAAACCTCACTCATGCTGCCATGTATATTTATCTTCATAGTTACCTTTATTTGTGCTTTTTTTTAATATATATATTCTACATACATTCTAATCTCTTCATTTCTGCCTGAAGGAATCCTTTAGTATTTCTGTGGGCAGCTCCGCTTGCTAAAAGTCCTCTCAGTTTTTGTTTATTCAGGAAAGCCTTAATTTTGCCTCCATTTTGAAGGACAGTTTTGCTGGATATAGAATTCGCGGTTAATTGTTTTTTTTCTGTGAGTATGTCATACCACTGCCTTCTGGCTTTTGTGGTTTCTTGTAATAAAACATTGCTCATCTTATTGAAAAGAGCCCTAGTGGTGCAGTGGTTAAGTGTTCACCTGCTAACCCAAAGGTTGGCAGTTCAAACTCTCCAGCAAATTATGCAAGAGAAAGATGGGGCAGTCTGCTTCCATAAAGATTTACAGCCTTGGAAATCCTATGGGGCAGTTACACTCTGTCCTGCAGGGTCGCTATGAGTTGGAATTCGACTAGATGACAATGGGTTTGGTGTTTGGTTTGCATATTAGTGAAGGGAGCCCAGGAGCACAATGTCTGAGCACTTGGCTATTAACCAAAAATCAGCAGTCCAAAACCTCCAGCCACTCTTCAGGAGGAAAGACTTGGTGATGTGCTCTCACAAAGAGTAAAGCTGTGTTCTCTAGGGTGACTATGAGTTGGAATCAACTCAGTGGTACACAATTTTATTGAGGATTCCTTGTGATTTTTTTTTTTTTTAATGGCATGGCGCCATCAGACACCCTCCTCTGACTTCATAAGGGGGTGAAAGAGTACAGACCAACATCAGCCCAAGGCTGGTTCCTATGAGGCTGAGGCCAGACACAGCTCCTCTCTCCAACCTTTTTACCAATTCTGAAATTAGCTGTCCCTCCCATGGCACTCTCTAGTCCTCTTCTGTGTTGGGTAATTCATTGCATTAGCCACACTGAACTCAGAGACCATACTCACAGTTCTGGGGTTTATTAGGGAAGTAGCAGGTTACAATTCAGGACCCAGAATGACTCTGAATACAGTTCTTCAATCAGAACAGTTTCTTCTCAGCCATTTATTCCCATAGGCTAGCCTCTTTCTTCTCCCTTTTGTCCCTCAGCCTGACCTCTGCTTTGCGTAGGTAATTATTACAAAGCTCTTTAGCTCTGTCAATAAGTACCCAGATGTACCCTACTCAGCCAGCAAGCTTCTACCTGAAAGCACTTAGAATTCTCACTCCATGGGTCAATATGCCCACGTAGCTACCTCACTCCATGAGGAGCAAAGGCACTAGCTCCGAGTTCCGTTGATGCTGTCATGTCTCTGTCACTGCACCTTGATGTGTCTGCCATCCTGGAACTATTTGTGGTGTTACAGCTTTGTCTCCTGGATCTAAGAGGTTCTCAGAGCAGGGACCCTGGGTCCAAAGGATACATTCCACCCCAGGCTCTTCTTCTTAGTGGTAGTGAGGTCCTCTCTTCCAACTCTCGGATTGGTTCCCTTTAAACCTAGTGGGATAGAAAAATTGACCATTTCCCTCATTAGGGTTCCATACACCTTATTTGTATGGTCCCGCCCTGCAACAGTTCTATGCACTTGGTTTCCATAGATTAATAATTTAGCAGGCTACCCACTCCCCTTGGTGATCGACAAGCTCCTTATGTGTATAGTCCCATTCAGTCATTTTGTGGCAGTCACAGGCTGTGGTTAGAAGGGCGGTATTAAGTAATTCACTGCACCGCATTTTGTATGCTTATTCAACATTATTTGTGTCATTTCTGTCTTGCTGCTTTCAGATTCTGTCTTTGTCTTTCAGTATTTTTATTATGATTTTTCCAAGAGTGAATCGCTTGGAATTTATCCTACTTGGCATTCTTTGGGCTTCTTCAACCTATAGACTCATGTCTTCCAGCTTTTTTAAAAAATATATTTTTAAAATTTCTATTGTGATTAGTGAAAATTTATAGAGCAAATTCCGAGGAGTGGCTGGTGGGTTTGAACCACCAGCCTTCTACTTAGCAGTCAAATGCCTTGGGTACTACACCACGAGAGCTCCCATCACCCAAGAGAGAATATCAATAAAGAGTTAGAATTTATCAAAAGAGAACAATTATGAATTTTTGGAGTTGAAAAGGACAATTAAAATGAAAAGGGCTTAACAGCAGTGCTTTGCTTATCCAAGCTTTCCATATGAAGTTAATGATTGGTTTTTCCACATT